CAGCTTATTATGAAATACTTAAAAAAATTATCTATTTAGCTATAGTCTTAGCCCCTTTGCTAATCCTGTAGTTTCCTGAGCAAAATAGCTCAAACTGACGTTTCCATTTAAAAGAGTGGTGGCTCCAATAGGGCTTCACTGAAGGTTTCGAAGAGAGACAGCATGCCTTAAGGCAAACATCTTCTGCTGTACCCTCTATTTAGAAAACCCGTAGTGTAATTTAAAAATGTCTTGTGTACTATCTGTATTAATTCTTAAGAACTTTATATAGCATATAGTAAAAAAAAAAACAAAAAAAACACATACAGTCGAAAACTGTATACAATTCCAACAAAGGAAAATAAAACTGACGTTTATTGTAAAACTATAGTCAACACCTTTTTTATCATTAAAAAGGGTACGTACAGTATTTCTGTTCTGTTTTTAGTGTTATCTGTGTCCCCAACAGTGGTTACTAGGGCAAGAATTTTAGGGAAATATCTCCAATGATGACATGCACAGTAAAACAACATTGTGTGGAAGGGTTGGAATCACCATCATAGGGATAGCAAGAAGCCCAGAAAACAATATAAAAATGCAAATGTTTTCACTAGGGGTGTTCAGATACCAGTGCCAATACTTTGCATTTTCATGAGAACTACCAGGGCTGTAGCAGTTGCAGCTGTGACAGGGCCCTGGTGCTTTACCACTGTCCTGAAATCATTAGTCTGTATTGTTTTAGAAAAACTGTCACGTGACACTAAACAAAAAGTTATCAGTAATTGGTATCTGTAAGAACTTGGACAAGTATCAGAACTTGTACTTAGTCTGGAAAAATGGTGTATCCCTTAAATATACATATACTATGTTACCAAAAGTATTGGGACACCTGCCTTTACACTCATATGAACTTTAATGGCATCCCAGTCTTAGTCCATAGGGTTCAATATTGAGTTGGTCCACCCTTTGCCGCTATAACAGCTTCAACTCTTCTGGGAAGGCTGTCCACAAGGTTTAGGAGTGTGTCTATGGGAATGTTTGGCCATTCTTCCAGAAGCACATTTGTGAGGTCAGGTACTGATGTTGGATGAGAAGATCTGGTTTGCAATCTCCACTCTAATTCATCCCAAAGGTTGGGTTGAGGTCAGGACTCTGCAGGCCAGTCAAGTTCCTCCACCCCAAACTTGCTCATCCATGTCTTTATGGACGTTGCTTTGTGCACTGGTGCGCAGTCATGTTGGAACAGGGAGGGGCCATCCCCAAACTGTTCCCACAAAGTTGGGAGCATGAAATTATCCAAAATGTCTTGGTATGCAGATGCCTTAAGAGTTCCCTTCAGTGGAACTAAGGGGACAAGCCCAACCCCTGAAAAACACCCCCACACCATAATCCCCCCTCCACCAAACGTTACACTTGGCACAATGCAGTCAGGCAAGTACCGTTCTCCTGGCAACTGCCAAACCCAGACACATCCATCGGATTGCCAGACAGAGAAGCGTGATTCGTCACTCCAGAGAACACGCCTCCACTTCTCTAGAGTCCAGTGGTGGCGTGCTTTACACAACTGCATCCGGCGCTTTCCATTGTACTTGGTGATTTAAGGCTTGGATGCAGCTGCTCGGCCATGGAAACCCATTTCATGAAGCTCTCTACGCACTGTTGTTGTGCCAATCTGAAGGCCACACAAAGTTTGGAGGTATGTAGCTATTGACTCTGCAGAGAGTTGGTGACTTCTCTGCACTGTGCACTTCAGCTTGCGCTGACCCTGCTCTGTCAATTTACGTGACCTACCACTTTGTGGCTGAGTTGCTGTTGTTCCCAGTTGCTTCCAGTTTGTTATGATACCACTCACAGTTGACCGTGAAATATTTAGTAGTAAAGAAATTTCACGGAACACCTGAATCCAATGATTTGGAGGGGTGTCCTAAGACCTTTGGCAATATAGTGTATATAACAAATAATACATTAAAACGGGGATGCACATGTCCCAGGAGACCCGTAGCCAATGCTCCTTAAAAATGACAGCTGCTGTGACGGACCGCCTGGTACCCCGACTGGGTACCTCCGCCAAAGAGCGTCTTCTGCCCGCCAAACCCCACTCTCAGCCAGCAGATTCGCAGTAACCAGCCCCTAACCCCCAATCACGAGGCAAAACTCATGTTGAAGGTTCAACATAGAAAAAGCAACTCCTTTATTAAACAAAGGACATTCACTTTTGAGACACTGGGAGGGCTACAACCCCTCCCCTCCCTTCCCCCTCATGACAAACACAGATAACAGCTTACACAGGGAATCAGACATTTACATACACAGTCACAGTACAATAGGGTGAGCCTCAGATAACAGGTGAGGGGGGGGAAGCTATGCAACTTCTACACAACTGACTTCACTTAATTAAGTCTCCATTTTGAATAGACAAACCATGTGGCCAAGTCCTTGTCCGCCACCATTTTAAAACATATATTTCCCAGAGGGCAACAGTCACTGTCTGCATATAAAATGTACATTTAGCCCCAAAATCTCCTGTTCTCTTGCTGGGCCATAATCGGTGTGTAAGAGGCCAGTCTGCAGCCCCCTCCAACTAGCACAGTGACGGTGCAGTCTGTCACAGCTGCCTCCTAACTTTTGAGTTTTTACTTTAGTCTAGTCTTGGAGCTGGAAAAGTATCAGTACTTGTACTTGTACCAAGTAAAGTATTTGGTATCTGAACAGCCCTAGTTTTCACTTTTTACTTAAATATCATTGTAGCCATACTAACTTTCATCTGCAAAACGATCGATTAAATTTTCATTTTCAGTGCTTCCTACTAAAGCCAGGGCATACTAAGTGATTACTACACTGTACGCTTGTTTCAAAGACGGAAGGTTTTTTTCAAGATATTTCTTGGCTTTAATTATTGCGCCTTGAACTTCCTAAAAATAAAGAGAAAAATTGTGAAAATGGTATGTTTATTTTTAGCGGAAAATGACAATAATACAAACTGGCAGCAAATGTTCAAGCTATATTTTAAAATTAGTGTAATTGCCATCTTGAGGTATATCGATCTTTTTTTAAACATTTTTTTTATTTTGCATAAAGCAAGAAATGGATAAAACTAGGGAAGCCAGCTTTGACGACTTCATGGCCAATCAGCATCGAGCTGGTCAAACAGCATGGAGTAGGCTTCCTGGCCATTTAGGAAGCCTGCTCCATGTTCCCTCGAGGCAGTGCCGGTCAGAAGAAAACTCCCTCTGACCGGAAGTTCAGGTATCAGGGGTACGTATCAGAGCATTTGGGCGAGTATGAATACTCGGTACTCGGTATCGGCACTGATACCAATACTAGTATCGGTATCAGTGCATCCCTAGTTAAAACACCTTTCATTTTGCTCCCATTAGGGAGATTTTCCTTTATGTCCTATCCCGTAGATACAGCAGGAATTAGAGAAAATCTCTCCAAAGTAAGAGAAAGTACCTTCACTGGAAACAATCTTTTTATTTCTTTCTTGGTAACAGCTCAAAATTTTGTATTTTCCCTCACTTCCAGTATCAATGACGTTGGTCACTAGGACATAGAGAATAAATCTTCTTATGATGCTGATGTAAATGTGGCTAAACATAACTAAACCTGCTTTAATGCAGTCCTAAACGCAGGAAATAGTGATTTGGGTAGCATAAACTTTGTTATACTTCCTAAATCAGTGGTTCTCAACCTGTGTAACCCACATTTGTCCTTGGTCATTAAGTCGCGAACCAAGTCGCACTGCAATGGAACGCACTGCTTTAGGGTACCGCGCCGGTGCGGGTGTACAAACTGTGGGTGGGAGGTGCGTTTGGGTACCATTCAAATGAATGGCAACGCAACACACCTCCCACACCAGAATGCACAGTAGGTGCGATTGCGTGGTACAGTGCGTTAATTGCACGGTACTATGTGATTAATGCACTGCACTAGTGTGAATGGGCCCTCAAAAACACTGACATACATACATACATAACCATAGTTTAATTTAATTTTTTTTAAGGTCCACCCAGTTTCCCTACCTTATGAGAACTGGAGTGGATCCTCAGCCTGGGGTCCAGTGTGGGCTGCTATGGTGTGATGGAGTGCCATTCATATGTGCTGTACTTGTACAGCTCCATTGCGTGCCCTGTAGAGGTGCCGGGAGCCAGAATGTGATGTCACCATGGCACCTCTATAGGACAAGCGAAGGAGATGTAAGCAATGCACGTATAGATGGAGCTCCCTCCCGGTTATAGCCCCATCCCACCTCAAGCTGACACTCAGTATTGGGCAGCATATTTTAAATGGCTGCTTGGCGCGAGAACTGACAGTGCTGTGCTAGGGGGAGGCAGAGGAGCCTCTCACCTAGAAAAGTGGAAAGCATGTGACGATCCACTGAACACGGGGTCGCGACCCACTTTTGGGTCAGAACCACCAGTTGAGAACCAAGGTCCTAAATAATCTAAAAGCAGGAGTGTAAGTGTGTATGAATCCCAATTTTACATGTTTGCATCTTAATAAAATTTAACTATCTGCATTAGTCAACCCTTGGCTTTTTGGTACTTACTAAAATATTGCAGCTCTCTTTAACTTCAGCCAATGCAATTAGAACATAAGCAGTAAGAGATGATGAGGATTCAGATCCAATATATCCACCCTAAAGAGACACAGAAGCAACAGGTTTTCTCAATACTTTGCAAAGAGGGATTCAAGCACACCATATAAGAATACATATACAGTATATCAGGTATTACGAAATACAATTATTTTAAGCCAGTAGTGAAGCATAGGATGCTGGAGGAGGTATGGCCAGAGTTATACATGTGTATTATAGCGCTCTCGGTTTTGGAACATTAGGGGCACCAATTTGGAAAGCAGAGCTGACATGTAGGCTCCTGGGGGTGCCTGCAGGCAATTTTGTTGTTAATAGCAAGTTCAGCTCCTATTATTGTAATTGGATATATATATTGATGTATATACAGTATATCCAGTCAACCCTGCCATATAGCCCAGACAAGTCTATGACCTTCCTGAACATTTCATTGCTGTAAAGCATGTATTCAGAGTATGATCACAACTCATTACATGTTTTATTGCTATCTCAGGTTGCTTTAGGGAGATTTACTGTCACCTACTGTCAGGCCCCATTTACACTTGGGAGTTGCATGAACACGCATTGTGTTTGTGGGCGTTTTGGCGCATTTACCATGTGTCATCCTATTCAAGAAAGTTTGATCTAGCTCATCCAATACAGGTTGGGGGATAAAGGGTAAAGCAGTTTCAGAAATATACTGGCAAACTTCACATTATGCAGGATTAATATATTGCCAATAGTTTGCTAATATATTGCCAATAGTATGAGAGCTTACAATATACAAGGAGGGACAAGTGATACAGAAGGCAAATAATATACTACCTGCATTGCCTTTGAATAAACTACCCCAGACTCGAAAAATTCCCCACTGGGATTCTGTCTGCTAATCAGCCACTTTGCACTGTTGCAGAGCATATTTTTGTCAATGTCCGCTAAACTTTGAGCCATAGCAAGTATTTTCACCACATAGGCAGTCAGCCTGAAAGAGAAAATGCAAGTAATAACCTTAGCATACAGTAAACATTGTTCAAAGATTAAAGAAGGAAAGAACAGGCCAGTTAACTACCAAATATTGTAGTTATAAAGAAATTAGAGTCAAGATTTACATTAATAGGCACTTGGGTCTCCCATCACTTACATATTTATGGCTTCTAATCACTAACGTGCATCCTACTTTGCAGCTAAAACATACAAAGTACGCAGAGTTATGCATGCTTTCTTATGTGGATCCCTAAAATGAAAACTGAAGACACCAGATGAATAGACTAGATATAAGTATTTTATTTTTAATCACAGATTAACAAGGATTCCAGGGAAAAAAAGATTCTACATTAATGTGTTTGTTGATACCCCCACTATGCTTTAAACCAATATGCCAAAATTTGGGCACCTTTTCACTTTTTTTAAAATTTTACCCACAATAAAATACTATATATAGAATATTTATATAGTGTAGCATAACTATTACACTATACTATACATGCTATTTATAACGCTATTTATTTCCATAATTCACATCATATAAAACCATTTTTTTTTGTTATTTTGGATAGCGTAGGGAAGAGTTAAGCAACCTCAGTACTTCAGTTGTAGTGAAAGTACAAATCCCATCATACCTCTGGGAGTAATGCCTGTGGCTGTCAGAATCTTGCAGTGCCTCATGAGACTTGTAGTTCTACAACATATGGAGTGCTGAGGTTGCCTACCCCTGTTTTTTTTTACCATCTGTGTCTCTCTAGGTACATTTTCCTTCCTGTGGTTCCTGTCCTTTAGATTCAACAGGAAGTGAGAGGATATCTTATCAATGTAATGAAAATCCCCATTTAGAGAGTAGTCATGAGAACTATTGTCTCCATTGGAAAATGTCCCCTCTATTCCTGTTCCGGTAGCAGCTCAAAATTTCCGATTTACCTACACTTTCATTCATGATGACAATGGTAATCGGGACAATTAGAGACAGTGAATCTCCCTAACAAAAGCACAGACGATCAAAAAATCTGTGGTTCCAATTAGGGATGCACCTATACTAATACTAGTATCGGTATCGGTGCTGATACTGAGTATTTGGGTGAGTACTCGTACTCGCCCAAATGCTCCGATACCTTCCTCGATACCCGAACTTCCGGTCAGAGGAAGATTTCTTTCCTCTGACCAGCAGTGTCGTAGGGGAACATGGAGCCGGTGTCACAGGCAATCAGGAGGCCGGGTGGCGAGTAGTGACTTGCCTGCCAGCTTCCTGATTGGCCAGGAAACCTGCTCCATGCTGATTGGCTGGGAAGCCGGCTTCCCGGCCAATCACAGTCGAGCCAGCCAAACAACATGGAGTCAGCCAAGCAATCAGGAAGCTGGGTGGCATGTCACTACCTGCCGTCCGGCTTCCTGATTGCACGGGAAGCCGGACCATGCAAGTGGAAGCACCGGTATCAGTACTCTGTATCAGCGAGTACCGAAAGCAAAATATCGGCACTCGTACTTGATACTGAAAAACCGGCATTGGTGCATCCCTAGTTCTAACCCCTACTTCTAACTCTAAATCAAATTAATGTTTAGCCTTAAGCTATATTTATACGTTAATTATGCAACAAAATCTTTTGTCCTAATGTATTTCATTTGCAAAGAGTAACTACAAATCACAACATGCTCTGCCTTTGGGAATCATGCCTGTAACTGTCAGTCTTGCAATGTCTCATGGGACTTGTAGTTCCACAACAGCTGGAGGGCCAGAGATGCCCAACCTGGTCTAGAGGCACTCACGGGTCTTGCAGCAGAGATAAGTCAAAGCATCAGCATTATATTGTCAGTGTTTGGAAGGAGCTCAGTCCGTCTTCATCAACATGATAAAGATGGACTGAGCTCCATCGAAATGTTGACAATAAAATGCGGATGCTTTGGCTTATCTCCACTGCAAGACCCGTTGGTGCCTCTACACCTACATTGGATTTGTATGGATATTTTTCTGGATAAACACGTGGACATTTACACAGCAGTGGCTACCTCTGGGTGGCACCGTATATATAATAGTATACTATTACAATGCTAAGAGCATGTAACAATGCATGATACTGTATCGTGTGTTATTGTCAGTATTACCTACTAAAAGAGTGTAAATTATCTCATTGTTCTCCTCATATTAATCCCACAATGAAGCATTCTGTCCATCTCATGTCCATCAGATCTTTGTACTGCTCCCCCCCCACCCCACCTTTGCATTAAAGTATAAAATAAGGATGTGCAGAATTGGTCCAGGGTAGAACTAGAAATGACAAATTTACTTTCCCAGTCACTTAGTTTTTATTCTTCTGCAGTACCATTAGCTAATAGCATATAGCATACAGGAGAATCAACTCATATTTCATTGTGAATATAGGAGAAAAGGTAAAGAAATACAGGTGAACAAAACAGAGTCTTACCAAGTGCTCTTTTGAAAAGAATGATCAGGCAAATGATGAGCCAGCTGTTGCATATAACCTGCCGAGGATCAAAAAAAAACACAAAATTCACCATATTTGATCTATCCTATTACATTTGGTAAGGCAGAACCCCAGCCAAAAATAACAAGATAAAAATTAAAAGATAAACAAAATCCATTCCTGCTGTAATATTTGCCTTCAATGAAGAGATTAACCCTGCACTCCTTATTTATGCCACTAGATGTCCTCAGTCTCTTGTATAGCATCATTCAACTCACTTCCTCTGAGCCCAGGTAGTCCTGGACCTGTCCCAGCCTGTTACTAGACAGTAAAATGAGAAGGAGCACACTGCTAGGCTCATCTTACTGTGTACTTGTGAGTGCTCTCTACAGAGCACTCACAGTACACCCAAGTAGGTGATACTCTACATAAAACCCAACATTGGACGGGAAGCCAGCTCCATGCTGTTTGGCCAGATCGATGCTGATTGGCCAGGAAGCCGGCTTCCCACCCAATCAGTGTGGAACTGGCTTCGCGGCCAATCAGGAAGCCGGGAGGTGAGTCATTACCCGCCACCCAGGCTTCCTAATTGACCGGGAAGCCAGCTCCATGTTCCCTCTGACCGGAAGTTCCAGTATCAAGGAAGGTATCGGAGCATTTTGACGAGTACCGGTATCGGTGCATCCCTACTGTCAACCAGTAAAGGTTCTTTCCTTCAACCAATACATGTTAGAAACAAAAGGTCTTTCTAAATCAATTTGATTGCTCTAAGCAACACTGACAGTTTTCTTTACACATTTAAATGAGGCTGGATTGGAGAACAGTGTAGCATTTTACATTTTTGCTATATTTTCCCAAGCTTGTGTGGGTGAATTCTTCAGGAAAGATATGGCTTTTTTTATTAGCATAATTACATGTCCTGGAGACAGTGACCATTGACAGGTGTCGTCAATGGTGTAACTATAGCCATAGCAGCCGCCTGGGGCCTGGAGATTGAAAGAGCAATTGTTGAGGCAATTAAACACAGAACATGTGAAGAGAATACAGTACTGTATTATTAACGATTGGAGTGGTTGCAGTTGACTCTAATGCCCTGTAAAGTCTACAGTGTAGAGACGTCCTCAGATACACAAGAGGAGACTTTGGGATCTTGGCATTGTTACTCAGAGGGAGGTCATCGGGAGGGCCCCCATTACATATTTGCTATGGGGCCCTGTGAACTGTAGTTACGGCCCTGGTCAGAACAGATGTAGACATACCTCCCAAATGTCCCTCATTTGGAAGGACTGTCCATCTTTTTTCATCACTCTGTCCCTCTTTCCTTCTCACTTGTCCCTCTTTCTGGTCTGATGTACAGATATCTATGAAAATGTACTATTTAAATACTACAATTTATTATATGAAAATTATACACTAAAGCCTTCATACTATCTCTTATCTTGTTAGCTTTTTTGAATAACCAGTATGAAGGAAAAGTAATGGTGGAAAACAATTCTGAGTTTAACCAACCATTTTTGGCAAATACATTCTTAATGGTCTGTAAACTGGGGCATGTCAGGGGTGTGTCCATTGTCTAAATATATTGTACTAGAAGGTGCCCCTCTGTCTTATCTCAGAAAGTTTGGATGTGTGTGTAGATGAGAAATCTCCAAATGGGCCACCTGCCCAGTACTGTCACTCGGAATTTGCTTCCACTTGGGAAGATTTCCTCTCAATTCCAGTCATGCCTGCAGGACAGCTCTCTATTCTCTAAAATGTGATTTGGCTGGACTCCCACATAAGCCCTAGGCATTGTACCTATTAATGCATTATGATGAATCCCTCTTTTAGTAGAGGTATAGAAGGTTGATTTCACCAGCAGCTCAGTGGTTCTCACCTTGTTCCAGCACATTCCACTACTATTACAGCAACTCGAGATTTCCTTTGTAGAATGTCATTATCTATGTTAACTCACCAAATTGTGTACAATGCTTGCTTTGTGCGCTGTGTACAGGAAAAAAGATTTTTATAAATTTCCGGTAGAAGTTTGGGAAGCCAAGAAACCACTGTTTTTGGTGGTCCGAATAAATAATGATGGGTAGAGAGGTTCCTTCTATAAAGGTGTGTCTAATTCTCCAAGGTGGATTTGATAGCTAGCAATTCTTTTTCACCAACAGGATAGTTGATTTCTGCAGCACTTAGGAGAGGAGGAAAAGAGGGCATATGAAGAGGAGAAAATGCTGATTCCTTTTGTGAGAAAACAGCACCAATTGCAATGTGAGAAGCATCTACTTCCAAAGTATACTCTAGCTGGGGGTCTGGTAACCGGAGGATAGGAGCAGTAGTGGAACAATGTTTCAAGTCATCAAATGCTTGCTGAACTTGGTTATTACAACTGACCTTTGAAGTGGAACTTAATTTAGTTAGGGGTTTGACAATGAAAGAAAAGATTTTTATAAATTTCCGGTAGAAGTTTGGGAAGCCAAGAAACCACTGTAAGGCGCTCCAGGTTTGTGATCTAGGCTAGTTTAAAATACAGTCAATCTTACTCTGATCCATCTGAATGCCATTGTTAGAGACTATGTAACCTAAGAAAGAGATGGTGGTGGCTTCAAAAATGAATTTCTCAAGTCAAGCGTATAGATTGTGCACCCTTAACCTTGAAAGAACCCACTTGACATGTCTGCGATGGTCAATTCAATTGTTGGAATAAATGAGTATGTCATCCAGATAAATTACTACAAAGACGTTGAGTAGGTCTCTGAATATGTTGTTTCTGAAACATTGGAAAGTAGCTGGAGCGTTACAGAGACCAAAAGGCATCACCAGGTTTTCATATAGACCATAATGGGTACGGAAAGCTGTCTTCCACTCATCACCTGCTCTGATTCAGATTAGGTCGTATGCTCCCTTGAGATCAAGTTTTGTGAAAATCTTTGACTATAGTCTAATAACTCAGGAATGAGTGGAATGGGGTATCTATTATTTATAGTCATTTTATTAATTGCTCTGTAATCAATAATGTAGTGCAGGGCTCAAAATTTCAAGTCTTGAGCTACTAGCCAGGCCTTAAGAGTCACTAGCCACCAGTTGCCCCACCTAACCCTTGAGGCCGCGACACACTGCACACGAAGCCGTGCAGAGCGAAGGAAAGCTATCCGGCACGGAGCTCTGCGTGCAGTGTGTGAGCACCTTCGGTCAATCGGCTTGTGCTTAACAACCGGCCAGATGTCGCATCCCGTCTTATACGTGCGAGCCGATTGGCTGAAGTTGAAATTGTTCATCTCGGCACGCTCAGCTCCGTGAGCTCTCGCCAGCTGAGGTGCCCAGAAGAAAATGACATGACACACTGCTCGCAAAGGCAGCGCTCCACCGCTCCACGCTGCTTTGCGTACAGTGTGTCACGGCCTTAACCCTCCCCCGGCCTTAACTCCGCCCCTAAACACACCCTCTTCAATAATCTTACGATAATTCTTATCCTATGATAGTTGCCACTTGTACGGCAGATTAGGGATTCCTGCTGCAGGAATCCCTAGTCTGCTGTAGGTGTGAATGGGGCCTAATGTACACATACACTAAAGGTGTCCATACACCTGCCGATTATCGTACGATAGTTGTGGGTGATCCCGCGATCGTACGATAATCGTGCAGTGTATGGAAGGCGTTCGACCGCCTTCCAAGCACGCTGGAAAACCTGCTGAAAATCGTACGATTTTTGGCATGTTGGTGGCGTGGTCGGAAGACAAATGCCGCACGGGCCTGTGTGCGCAAGCGCACACTGCCCGCTCAGCACTGCAATCATCGGAAGTGCGCCCCTCAGGGGGGCGGGCTTGCGATGATCGCAAGTACGATCTGCCTGTCCAAGATGGGCAGATCATACGAGATTTTAATGACCTTACAACATAGCACAACGAAAGTCATGCAATGGTTGTAAGGTGTATGGCCAGCTTAAAGCACAATAATAACCCTTATCTATTTAAAAGCTAAAAGGGGAACGGTGCACATGGGCAGGGCAATATACAAAACAATACAAGAGTTCTATACTTGCTAGCTAGCCAGGAAAAAAATTAACTAACGCTGACTATATGAAAAGTGTGCTGGGGAACTTTTGTATTTTTGTATTCTTGAACTTTTGCACCTTTCTCCTTTTTGCTAGTTTTAACTTGATCAGAGCACCTACCTACACACACATATTATTTTTAGTATATACACGCACATGTAACATTTGACTTGTGTTTTCTGCATGGTGACCACACTTGGGTGGTGTAATATTTTTAGCCAATAGGTCCTTTGTTTCCATGTGTGTTCTTTGTGTTCATGTAAATTAGGTCACAATCCGTTATGCACCGCTTGCAGATCAATGAGCAGGAGGTTTTCATAAAGATAAACTAGGCAGCATAGAGATAAGCAGGCACTGTCTAAATAATGCATGCTAATGGGGCAAGCATCATAAGAGGACTTGGCAGAACAGAAGAATTAGCGACACATACATCATTTTATCTACATCAGACCTTCATATATACCGCAATATTTTTTTAAAAATCAGAATAACTGTACCTTGCTGAATATTGTCAAGGGCTTTCAGCCTTTTTTCAGCTCCAATAACATTCCACTTCTTGTTGACATCTAAATACCGAGTTGCAATTACATTTGTAGAGGTTCTAAACATATTTTGTTCCGGGCAGCCACTGGGGATATATAGGAGACGGCCAAGATAGGACTCATCTAAAATGCCCAGCAAACTCTCCCCCATTATGTCTCCTGAAAAAAAAAAATATTGCAGAGTACGCTAACTTGCTACAAATACCCAAAGTCATAACAACCAATGAGACACAGAGAAGAGATAGAAATAAATTGCCATAATGATGATAACTACATTAACAGGCATATTTATTAAAACTCAACAAATCTAGGCACATTCACTTTGCTGGACTCGCCACACATTCAGTAGCAACATTCACTGCATCGGTAAATATGGTAAGTGTTAAACTCAGAAAATATTTAATGTCCTCATTCCCCCTTCACATTAGGATCCTACCAGCACATCAGACGCCCTGTTTTAACATCAGAATCCCCCTATTTACATTTGGAGCCCCCCCCTTTCACATCAGAGTTACTCCCTCTCACACTAGAAGCCCCCTTCACATCAGGCCCCCCCTTTTCACATCAGAAGCCCCTATTTACATCAGGAGCCTCCTCCCTTCACATCAGAGTCTCTCCTGCTCACACTAGGAGCCCCCCTTCACACTAGAAGCCCCCTTTTACATCAGGACCCCCCTCCTTTCACATCAGAGTTCCTCCCCCTCACACTAGGAGCCCCCCTTAATATCAGAACCCCTCTCTTTCACATCGGATAGCCCCTTCACATCACAAGCCCCCTTTCCCATCAGAGTTCCCTCTTCACATCAGTACATCCAGTTAGCAGTGGAAGTGTTTTCTGCAGATTTTATATGCAGTGCCTTCTGTGTTTATATGTTCCACAGGATATCATTTGTTAAATCGTAAATGTGATGTAATATCACATAGAAAAGTGTGATAATCAGACATTACTCATATCATACCTTGTATGCTAATAAAGTAGTTTGCAGGACTGTTTGGAACCACTTCATGTAATTCTTCTTTCTTTACATGTACCAACTCAGATCTCCCTGAAAAAAACTTAAAGTTAAATGCACCATTTTGGTTGTAAAAATAAACACTAAGGCCATGTCTCTTGATGTTTCCACACTCTGCTGCTATCTCTGGTGTTGTGGATATGTCATCAGCACACAAATGGGAAATGCAGGAAAAAATGTTTTATTGCATCAGAAAATCACACCATTAAGAATGCAATATTTTTGAGCCTTAAAGGACATGTGGCATACCTTGATGAAGGAGTCATAGGTGGCTCCAAGACGTTGTGTTGTGATATTAGGATGGTGTACTGATGACATACTGTCTTGTATGCATATCAGGATTCAGACAAGATTGTGTGGGGTTCCCAATAATCCAAACACTACAGTAGGATAGCTGTCTGCTGCTTACATGGAGACTCAAGTAAAGCATGACAAGTTGCATTTAAAAGCACAAAGAAGACTCAGCCGATCAGCTTATTGACACTTTGTTTATATTTACATTCATCTATAAAAATGCTATCCAAATGATTGGTACCTGTTTTTGGCATATTCCAGCATCATTATTTTTGATATGTTCCTTAAGTGTTTTCCTTGGTCCTAAACACTGCCCTTTTTAATTCTTTCAATTTGAATTATCCCCCATCACTTTTAGTCAAAATAGAGTGCCTTCAACAGTAGACCTGTTTCAGTAGCCATAATTAATCAGCATTGTCACTATTTCACTACTTTCCATAGCAAGTAGAAGCAGATAAGTGGAGGAAAGTTGCTTATTTCATCTTCGGACACTACTGCATGTGTGATTGATTCTCTTCCCCTCAGTAGTATGACCACAAATTATCTCTGTTACCTGATGAATGCTTGTAGAATGCATAACAAATGACATTGAATATAATTTGCCACCATTGTTCACAGATAAACATTTCCTTGAGACCCACATCTGTCATTTGTTGTAAAGGCTGTGGTACTTCACAATGCAGATTATACCAATTGTTGAATAACTCCATAATACGGATGGGGTGGATATACACAGTTTGGTCATTGGAAGCAATTGGTTTTAAGCATCACCCCTAGTGATTTAGAGACTAACAAGCTGTGTAGGAGGACATGATAAGCAATGTTTCCAACTGCTTATTATGGCAAACAGAGGTTTTCCAACATCCAGCATTCCATTTCCAACACTCTAAAATCCTGTGTAATCAGAGGATGATATTTCCATTTTTTATGGAAGAAATGGAACCTGAGCTTGGTCAGCTTGTGCCCACTAGCCAGGATTGGGGAAGAAAGCAACAAGTAACTCAAGCAAGGAGGAGCAAATGTACCAGTCTGCTCTTGGTAAGACATCTGTTCATCCTGCCTAACCTCTTTTTTGTGATTAAATAGGCATTTGTAAGTGAAGTGAAATACTGTTAAGCATGTTTTTGATGAGTGGTGATACTGACAGAAAACAGTAGGTCCCCCTGCACTCCTTACAGCGCTTCCGGTCCAAATTAAAATAGTGGTGTTGCAGTGACAATCACGGATGGCGCCGTGTACAACAGTCAATGAACGATAGAAATCACCAGCACTCCGCAGGGTCCCTTCATCAGGGCAGAGATGTGATCATCTCTGCCCTGATGAAGGGACCCTGCGTGGTCCCGAAACGTTGGATTATGCGATATGTGTGACGTTTAGTCCAAATAAATTGACTTTTTTTGACTTTCATTTACGGAGTGCTGGTGATTTCTATCGTTCATTGGTGATACTGACACACTACTGCCACTGTTGCTGTTTTTATGAAGAATAAAACAATGCAATTATCCATAATAGCATATTTCTAGTATTCTTATATTTTTGTAAATAGCTTTTGCATTGCAGCTACATACATACAGTTCAATCTTATCCTCTCTTATAACACTGCAATGAACCAACCTTTAGGATTTATCACTTGACTAAAAGTTTTCTTCCTCACAAGTTTTCCTTCTGGCTAAACCACCCAAGACGATGCATGTGAAAAGAAAAACAAAATCAGGGCTTTTATGCAAAGAAATAATCATAATTGTTTAACCAATACATGGACTCCATTTCCAGTGCACATAGGACCTGTACTTTATGCTACTTTTCTGGACATGAAATATTTAAAGTGACCCATGTCATTTACAATAATTATTCCAGCCAATCGGGAAAGGAGGGATGATGTAATTGTATATGGGCAAACTTTCTGCATTGCAGATCAGACTTCTGACGGTAAAGTGGATTTTTACAAAAAATTTCACAGCTGCTATCTAGGGATTGTGGTGACATGCGAGAGGGAGAAAAAGAAAAGAGTTTACAACATCCTCTACGCACAGGTACTGTTAAATGTGACATAAGGAGGAATGATATGGGTCACTTTAAGTAATTGAGAGGCAAAAGTTAACTATAATATAGTACTTTTATGCAAAAAAGCAGCTTTCCAGTTGACCAGCCTATTTACAGCTGGCCAACCTTTCTGTCATTGTTTACATCCTTTAGCTCTGGGTCTTCCAACTGGAGATAATGTCTAGTGTGCAGTTTGGACATAAAGAGACAGGACCTATGTCAGCCTTATACCATTGCTACCTCCCATACGAAGTAACAGTGACAGGGGTTGGCACAAACAATAACAATGCTATTACACTTGACTTTAACACATATAGCAACATTAAAAATATATATATATATATATTCACACTGTATATATTAATAAAGGTGATCAGTGTAAGCATCTCAGATTTGCTAGACACCTTAGCCTGTGGAAAAACATTGAAATAAATGTGAAAACTAAATTATTTGTATACTAAATACTATCATTATATGAGGGTGAGTCAAAAATTATCTACACTTCAGTTATATTAAAACTTCTGTTGGCCGCACTGTCTTATCAGCGCTTTCCATTCCAGGCTACGGTCTCCCCAGTCATTGCTGTGCTGGTGTGAACATGTTACGTCAGTTCATTTGTAACTGCAGTGCGAGAAAAAATGGATGCCCCACTTGTGGTTTGCACGAAAGAAAAGCAGCATGCAGTGATTTTTTTTTGTGGTCTTAGAGTGTGCCTGGTGTCGTTATGTGTCAAAAACGCAGTACAGAGAAGGAGTTTTGTTGCGAAGAAGTGTATATGAATGGATAGGGAAGTTCAAAGAAGTTCCCACAAGTGTTTGCCATCAAGAAGGAACCAGACGCCTGTCCACGGCTGATGACAACATTGAGCATACATGTGAAATGATTCTGTTGAATAGATGAGTGACAGTGGATTATGTGGCTTTGGTCCCCTGAAAGCAGCCCTACAAGGACGAAGATTCACCTCTAACAGCGGTGCATTTGTGGCTCGCAGCTCAGCTTAAAACTCTTGTTGACAGATGGACAAAGTGTACTGAAAAGCAAGTAGATTATGTTGAAAAATGATGCACAGTATTTGTCTTTTCTAAAAGTTGATTAAAATAAATTCTACAGCAGAGTGCGGATGATTTTTGGCTCACCCTTGTATGTATTACCACCTATAGTTATTAGTATTATTTTTTCTAAATAGTGGTCATTTATAATTTAATAATTAAATGATTGTTATAGTAGTATTAGCAGTAATAGCGGTAATAGTATAAAGAGTATGTTTACATACCAGCACGTCAATGGTTTTTTTCACTTTGTCTCTGACACCTGAACCATAAGCCTCCACTTCAATGTCAATTCTTTCTGCTTTCAGAGGGATTATAACATAATACACTGCTTTTGTAGATTGCGCTTCTACCTCCACGGGCACCTGATAACCTTTTGATTTGGTAGCTAAACTGCATACATTCTCAATATAAGAGAATCTCACTGTCACCTGTGAATATAAGGAAAGGTATTTTCAAAATTGAGTGCAGCCAAACGTGGTCTTGAGGATCAGAAGTTCCTAAAATCTGCTGTTATTGTGTAAACCTCATGTAACAGACAAAAACAATAATACAAAAAAACTCTGGTAGAAAGTGCCTATGCTGGAAAAAATTAAAGCAATGTGACAAAAGACAAAAGTTCCTTCTCTTTTTTTTCACACCACTGGAAATAATGGGTATGCCCAGCTTGAATTCTTGAATACATTTTGACATCTGTAAAAATATGGAACTGTCAGTTCAGACATTTTGTGAATAGGCATCTTTACTCTTTTGTGAGATGGTAATAGCTGTTGGAAACGTAAGCGTAGAATTTGAAAATCACCTTTCGTTTACTGTCACTATAGTTGTGGACAACTGCCCGAATTTGTACTTGCTCATTTCTTCTAACGCTGTAAGGTAGTCTTAAGTCAACAAAGAATTTCATGGAAACAGTCAATTGGTATGCATCAGCTACACAAATTCCTGGAATTTAAAAAAAATGTACAGTTTACTAGAATAAAAAAGTACTGCTTGCTAAAATAAAATATAAGTTACCACTTATTAGAACAAAAAATGACTGCTTACTAGAATAAAAATAAGTGCAGCTTACTAGAATAATAAAGTACTCTCTTACTAAAATAAAAAATAAAGCACCACTTATTAGAATATAAAATAGGTAGTGCTTACTAGAATAAAAAAATAAGTACTGCCTAGTAGAATAAAAAATAAGTACTACTTATTAGAATATTAAATACAAACTGCTTACTAGAATTAAAAAGTACTGCTTACTAGAATTAAAAAAGGTACTGCTTACTAAAATAAAACATAAGTACCACTTATTAGAATAAAACATATGAATTGCTTACTAGAATAAAAAGAAGTATTGCTTGGTGGAATAAAAGATAAGTACCGCTTTCTAAAATAAAAACTAAGTACTGCATACTAGAATAAAAAATAAGTACCACTTATTAGAATAGAAAAGTACTGCTTACTAAAATAAAAGATAAGCACCACTTATTGGACTATAAAATAGGTACTGCTTATTAGAATAAAAAAAAGTACTGCTTACTACCATGTTTCCCCAAAAATAAGACCTACCCCAAAAATAAGACCTAGTGTGTGTTGTTTTTTTTTTGAGCCCAAAAAAATATAAGACAGTGTCTTATTTTCGGGGAAACACAGTAGCATAAACAATAAGTACCACTTAGAATAAAAAAGTACTGCATACTAGAATAAAAAATAATACCACTAACAATAAAAAAGTACTGCTTACTAGATTAAAAAAATAAGTACCACTTATTAGAATATTAAATCAGTCTCACTTATTAGAAAAAAAAAGTACTGCTTAGTAGAATAAAAAAACAGGAGACACTTATTAGAATAAAAAAGTACTGCTTACTAGAATAAAAAAAAAAAAACAAGTACTGTTTACTAGAATAAACAATAAGTACCACTTACTAGAATAAAAAAAAATATTGCTCAGTAGAATAAAAAATAAGTAACCCTTATTAGAGTAAAAAATAAGTACTGCTTACTAGTTAAATGTATTTTGCTAAAACATGAAACATTTTAATTTGATCATCAGGCATATGCTGCAATGCTGTACAAGTTGCATGAATACAAACTGTGATATAAACATTTCATCCAAATTATATACACCCATACAATTGGTACATGGACACATACTGCAGGTAGCAGTATCATTGTAGTGAGATTTAACTCTCTTACGCAAATAAAAATAATTCTATAAGAATATTAGGACTGTGTTACATGCCCAAGGTTTTAAAAATTGTTTTTTTTATCCAAAGAGCCCTAACAGACACCACAACTAGATCAGTGACCTTACTGTCCGCTTAGCCGTTAGGAAGTGCAGCTTGTACACTGCCCTTCTTAAGGAGCCCATACACCTTACAATTATCTGCAGATTTTCTGTGGTCATTGCACACTGCCCGTTTGCAGTGATCGGAAGCCCGCCCCTCAATGCGGTCATCGGAAGCCCCGCCCCTCAGTGGGGCGGGCTTTCGCTGATCGCAAGTACGATCTGCCCGTCCAAGATGGACAGATCGTATGAGCTTTCAATGAGCTTATGACCATCGCAAGACAAAGGTCTTGCAATGGTCGTAAGGTGTATGGGCACTTTTAGCGTAGATGGAGGAATCTGTTGCACCTTTTCCATCTTACCACAGAAAATCTGCAGATAATTGTAAGGTGTATGGCCAGCTTTAGACTCATCGCCAGCATCATAAGCTGATTATGTCATCAAGTTTCATCAAGCAGGTAATATATTGTGGTGGTATACATTATATTAAAAAAGAAAACTGTTACTCCAACTGTTTAAGCACTCCTGGCAGTCTTATAGTTCTTTCAAACTTCTGTCATGGGCAATTTGGCAGAACCTCTTGCGTAGAGCAAGATGTAGAATCTGAGCACGAAAACATATAAATAAGGGCATCTGAATAGAAAAACTAAAGAAATGAATATACTAAGTGCTATCATTACTATTATCAGAATACTGTTCTAACATTTTCACACAGTGGTCCTTTTGAAGAAAATGTTTTATATTCCAGAGTCTACTTTTAAGAGTATCTGTGCAATTTTCCAACTACATGATGTATTTATCAAACTGTTGTTATTTCATTTTCCCTTACCTTGATTTTTCTTGATACTGACTGCTTGTACTATCCAGGTGGTGACAGAGCTTGGTAGGTCAAGTGGTAATGGCACAGTGACAACGCTAGAAAGTGACACATTTCCAGACTGGGTTAACATGAGCTCATGATGAAGGTCTGAAAATCTAAACTACATGTTTCTAAACAATGCCCAAAAAGTGTCTTAGGGGAAGGTATATGCAGGAAAGGAGTGCCAGAGGGTATGAAATTTGTAGGAGAGTGTGAATGGTGTAACATGGGCAGTATTTGCAGGAGGAGTGTGGAGGGTACGAGGGGGGGCAGTATGTGTTGCAGGATTGAGGAGAGTATGACAGCAGACAGTGAGTGGAATTTATCAAAACTAGAGCAGGCAGAATCTGGTGCAATTAAAGCTTAACTAAACAAACTGAAGAGAGAAGCCGATTGGTTGCCATTGGCAACTGCTCCAGATTTTGTCTACTCCAGGCTTGAAAAATTCCCCTTACTATGTCCAGGAGAGAGGTACAGACATTATTACAGCTGGCAATATATGTTGTATGCAGGAGGAGTGTGTGCAGGGTATGGCAGCAAGCAGTATGTGCAGGAGAGCATGCAGGGGATATTATGGGGAGGAGAATAATGAGGAGGGCATTACAGGGGGAAAATATGTGCAGGAAAGGAGTTCAGAGATTATGAGCAGATGTGGGGTGCAGAGGGTATGACAGCGGAGAGCATGTAGAAGGTTTGACAATTCCCATTCAACCAGAGTCAGTGGAGATGAGACTGACATTTGACATGGTGTTCTGAATAAATGTGAGGGATTATTGCACATGTGCTGGAGACTAGTGCATAAGGGTAAATATACATGTGCTGGGCATGGAGAGGTTATTACACATGTGCTGATGACTGGCTGCTGGAGGGTAAATGCAATAAAAACCTAAATACACTTCTTATCTTCCTTTACAATAACAGGAGACAGCCAACCACACAGCGTGAAATACAATGAAATGAAATATAATTATTAGCACTTTTCCACATAAAGTAACTTACCTAGATTTCTGCTTTAATGACAAAATGTGATTAAGTTCAACTTATTCATGACAAACTAATACCGAAAAGGTGTTTTTTCTTTACGGTTTTAATATTCATAGCATTCATAGTTCAAGCTGTTCTGCCTTTGGATGTAGAAATTATAGGCTTACCTACCTGCCATATCAAAATTGGCCACAAGATGGAGCTGAAGAGAAAATATCTCTGTAGCAGGATAGACAGTTTTTTCTTTGGTAAAACTCCCAGCATTCTTCTACTTAAAGAGAAGGAAACAAGGGCATTTGGGAGTTCTGCCTCCATTTTAGAACAGAGGAGAAAAGAATCCACTGCCATCCACAGCATGTGTCTGGGGGAAAGAGCCTAAAACCCTCTTAGGCTGCATCGCTGGTATAAATGGACTTTTACCTCACTGTATTTGTAAACAGTTACTGTGTTTACACCTTTATTAACTGATTGGTATGTTTCCATGTTCTTTTTCCAGTTTTACCCCACCCTGTTTTGTTAATAAAGCTTCAAGATTTCATTGAGTCTGGCTTGCAGAATAGGAGGGTTTTGCTGCATGTTGAGCTGTACACAGGCCACAGAGCTGTGTTTAGCAAGGACAGAACACAGGCTATACAAGTAAGTAATCCATAGCTGTTTATTAGGCTTGCACGTTTCAAAGGAATTTTAGAACATTCTATTTAACCTATTTTATAGTTCTGGGATTCTGTGTATAGTTTTTCTCTACAGCATCAGTTGAGTTGTGGGCAGGACTCTGACTTGACTAATGCAGACTTTAAATTGTCTCCTGGTTAAACCATTCTCTTTTTAATTATTTGTTTCAGGAGATTGTCTTGTTATTGCACCCAACCACTTTTAGATATTAGGTAATGCAACTCTACTCTCATCTTAATTAGTGTTTTTCCTTTTGAGGATACAGATGCATTTGGCAGTATTTGGCAACCTCAAAAGATTTCCTGTTACCTAAGGGTTCTTTTAAACTTCAATGTTGCACATTACATTTTTATCATATGCTTTGCAAGACACCCCTTTAATAGAAAGTAGCAAGAGTACTATATTTACTCCATTTGTAGGCATTTTCCTTACCATGGATTAATAATCAACCTTCATTTTCAGCCTTATGCATTTTATATTTTTTCTTCTTAGGGCTCTGAAATATATTAATGTGAGTGATGACATTCCCTGGGACTTTATCCCTATGACTAGTCTAATGATGGGCAAATATGCCCAGGTTTGATACGCCTAGGGTTCTTGTTCGGTGACTCTTGTTCAAAATATTGTAAATCCAAAGAATCTCTCTGAAGACTGTTAGGGGGGGAGTGAATCTTATTTTTTAATCCTGACCATTTTTACAGGCTAATAAGCAAACTAGGGCCAATAAAAAGCATGTGAAACTGTACACTTCCAATAAGTACTAGTAAAAAAAATTTAAAAAAAGATAGGCAAAAATATACCATACAGCAGGAAGAGGGTCTTTTCATACAGGTTTGAGGGTAACATTGGAAAAAACGGAAAGACATGAGTCAGGTGCGCCTATGAAAACATACATGTTGGGTATCCTAGTGCACTTTGGAGTGAGGGCCATTATTCATGGTTAACTCTAAATTGAGGCTTTGGGAGCATCGCCTATGGACAATTTAAGTAACAATTTTTTTTCGCCATTTCAATTGTGCACACAATTTTGAGACTTGACATGTATGGTGTCCATATACTCCAAAAAGCAACCTCATATTTGATCTTTTAGTGAAAAATTGGCTATTCCGTTGTGTCTGTGTGCACTAAAAGTATTCTGTGTTTC